CCCCAAAACCCCAAAACCCCAAAACCCCAAAACCCCACTTGTATCTATTGATAATATTAAATGACAATTTTCCTACTAATTAATTTATGAAATCAATTTTAATCTAAAATCAAAGTTCAGTCTTTTTCTTTGAATCTTTGGATTTTCCAGTAACCTATTTAGTACTGGTGTTTTTATCTTTCTTTTATTTCAATGCTGCATCCATTACATCCTTAGGGACTTTGAATTTTTTCTCTGCATACTATTGTAGGAATTAGATAACTGATGATAGATCAACTGTCTTTTTATTGTAGGTGACTCTATTTTCCACAGAATGTTCTTTAGCTGGATAAAGATAAATAGCTGGTACATTAGGGTCCTATAAGATTAGTTGTAAACTACAAATAAATATTACGTCAATTTCAGCAATCATTCCTTCAACATTGACATCATATCCTGCACAAACAACACTCTTAATCTTGAGTTCCCTTAATTATAGTGCTATCAAATCAAAATCATATGCTCTTTGTGTTGACCTAAAACAAGCAGTATTATATATTTATAGTAATGACTTACTTTTTCCAATTTGGACTTTGCATATCTGAAGTATAAACAAATACTAGAATGTCATGGTCTGGATTTGTAACAGTATTAACAAAGGATCTTTTGTTTACAGATCTCACATTACTTAGTCTGTCAAGTATTTCGTAGTCTCTACTGTCTGAAGCTTAATCATATGTTTGATCTGGTACTTTCAGTCTTCCTTTCATAAAGTCTTCTATATGTTCTTATAATACCTTATCAACAATTGAGGCGTCACCAAGGTTAACTTCCATATCAATGGGGAAGTAGTTTTACTTAGGAGTAACCATCACAAATGAAGGCACTTTATCCCACATAATTCCTAATCGTGTTCTTTTCTCCAATTATTCTTATCTTTCTGCATAGAAAAAGTTGATTCTATTTTGGAAATAGACTGGAGCAACTCTTTGAAGGGCATCTTTTGCTACTTTAGAATCAGCTCCATAGTTTGCGTTTCCTCTATTAATAAACATTATTCCTTGAGCTTCATTAAGCATCTTAGATATAACCTCTGTTTCTCTATTCAACTCATCACCTAATTTGCTTAGAGACATCTTATTAATCCAATAGGCAATATCATCTGATTCCTTTTCAATATCATAAAAATGATAGACTCCTGGTTCTCTCTCTAAGACTATTGTATTAAGTGAGTATTCATCAAACCATTTGACTCCAAATTTCTATTTATAATGCTGCACAAGGGTCTTATTAGTAACTACAGCAATTCTAAGATCATCTCTTCTCACTAAAGATTATGCTGCTTTCTAAAATAGTTTGTACTCATTGCTATACTCTTTCTTGTCATTAAAAAGAGCTAGAACTCTCACTCTCTTTCCCATTCTATAATAAAAATCTCCCATTGGTTCATATTTGTTTTGGTAGAATTTTGAATGTTCTACATATTCCTTGGCTGAGTCTAAGAATAGGTCTATTTGTTCAGTAGTCTTCAAATTCAAGACTGGATAGAGAACTCTATTAATGAAATGCAAAAATAGGTTCTTAATGTAATAGCTCTCATATGGATAGTATTCTCCATTCCTAAGTCGGATTAAGATGATTAATTAATGTTACTTATAGACAAGCATTCTAGGTACAGTCTCAAAAGCATCTCTCTCTTTTTGGCTTAGCTTCATCTTTTAAAATAAATCTAATCTAGCTACCTTAATTCTCTTTCCCTATTAAAAAATCAGATAATAAATGAGGATTACATTGTAAGTATGTAGTTTAGTTTACATTCCAGAGTGTACTGCATCAAGCATACCCTCTGTAAAGCAGCAATGATCACACTAGTTATCTGAAATTCCTAATAAAAAGACCTCATTCTCTTGCTTGAATTTCTCAAAATTTTTAGCGGTAAGATTGACATCTCCTACACTCAAGTGAGGTAAGTCTGGAGAGCAATTTCTATCTCTAGCTTTCTTCTATTAAAGGTGCTTTTATCTTTCTTCTGGAGTTAATTCCTTTTGTTCTTGCTGCTATTGCTCAAGTTCATCATGATTCGCTTCATTCCTTCCAGTCATTTTACTGATTGCATCATCCATACTATTGAACTCACCTTCTGGAATTCCTTGTTCTAGCTCATTCCTATCTAAGTCGATATTTACTTCATCCTCACAGTAAACTTATGAGAGAGTTATCAACCCAACAGTTAACAGAATTGAGAGATAGATTAATCTCGAAAATCTCATATTTTTTCTAGACTTTAAATAAATAAAGATATTAATGTTAATTCAAATCTATGATTCCAATTGGCAAAAAGGGGTTTTGGGGTTTTGGGG